GTGCCTGGCATAAAAGAAAACCACCAAAACCAAACCCACTGCCGTCAAGTCGGACCCGACTCATAGCAACCCCTCCCCTTGGGTTTCCGAGGCAGGATCACTATGGAAGTAGATTGCCCCATCTTCCTTCTGAGGAGTGGCTGGTGGTTAGCAGTCAAATGCCTTAAAACTAAAAAACACTTGCAAATGGAAGGAAAAAATAGAACAGACCTTGTCCTAGGTTTTAAAGTTATTGTTGTTGTTGTTGTTATTTGCCGTCGAGTCAGCCCTGACTCATACTGACCCCTCCTTGGGTTTCCGAGGCAGTATCACTATGGAAGTAGGATTGCCCAACCTTCCTTCCGAGGAGTGGCTGGTGGGTTTGAACCGCTAGCCTTCTGGTTAGCAGTCAAGTGCCTTAGGCACTATGCTACCAGAGCCAAAACTCAAAATCAAATCTGTCAGACCTTTAAAAATTACTTCAATTTTTTAAAATTAGTTCATATTTCCTACATAAGATGCTTTATTTCTAAGTGCTTTTGAGACATTTTAATAAATGCTCTACCATATACAATTTAATTCCATATAATATCATGAATCATACTTATTAAATACTAGGATGTCTATACTGTTTTATTAATAAAAGACTTCAAATTTAAAATAAAGTATTTGAAAGGAAATAACTTATTGTGGCTTTCATGAAACATTATGTACCAAATATCAGTTTTCAAAAATGGGAAGTCAGGACAATGCTATTATTATCTTTTACTTAGGTGAAATAAACTCAATCTTAAGGGGGAAAATTGATTATGGTTTGGTTTTGAGCTCTGGTAACATAGTGCCTAAGGCATCTGACTGCTAACCAGAAGGCTGGCAGTTCAAACCCACCAGCCACTCCCCAGAAGGAAGGCTGGGCAATCTACTTCCGTAGTGATATCGCCTTGGAAACCTAAGGAGGAGTCGCTAGGAGTCAGACCTGACTCGACAGCAGTGGGTAGCTTTAAATATTAAATATTAATTTCTATTAAGTCTGAATGACCCAATATTCCAGTTGTGTGAATGTGGTCAAGTCACTGAATCTTCTTTAGTCTGTTGAGACTATACTACAACTGGCCACAGCTTCACTCCTGTCTTTTAATTTCTTTACAACTTAAACTTTTGTTATTTTCTAATATAATAAAAATTAATTAAACAAAAACGTATTGGATGTCTGTTCTGTACCAGTCAATGTTCTAGGTGTCAGGAATTCAATTTATGTGTCAGTAGGGGAATGCAAACAAAATAATCTCATGCTGAGGGCATTGAAAGCTGAGGAGAAGAGTGGAGAGAAGGAAGGAGTGTGTTAGTAAGTCAGAAAAGAATTCCTAAGATCCTGGATAGACTGGCAGAACGATGTGGAATAAAATTCAAAATTATAAAAAGACCAGGTTTACTGGTGTGACAGAGCCTGGTGAAAGTCCCAAGACTACTGCTCCTAGTTACCCTTCAGGATTTGAACTCATTCCCGTGGCTTCCAGGCAAACAACAGACAGGCATATAGGGTGAACATTTATTTATACAAGTAGATACACTCCTTACAATGATCAATCATAGGAGAACAGAAGGGCAGTATTTGCGTGGGGAGTTAGCTGAGGGGGCAGGAATGCAAAGGAAAGAAGGACAGAGGGAAGAGGTAACTACAGAGAGTAAGTGGGAAGAAAGCTATTACACTGTGGGGAATTGCAGTCAATGTCAAGAAACAAAATGTATATGAACTACTTTATGGAAAATGAATTTGCTCTGTAAACTTTCACCCAAATCACAATATTTTGTCTTTTTTTTTAAGAGATCCTGAAGGTACTTTTTCAGATGGGCCATGAATGGTAAGAAACTGAAGATTGGGGAAAAGGCAGTCAATATAAAGCTGTTTTTTCCAAAAGTGTAGGCTGTGATCTATTAGTGGACCATGAAGTCAATTTAGTGGGATATGCTTGTTAAGCCTGGATAGCTCAGTTGGTAGAGCATCAGACTTTTAATCTGAGAGTCCTGCGTTCAAGTCCCTGTTCAGGTGCTTTTCCATTTTAGGAGCTCTGGTAGCATAGTGCCTAAGGCACTTGACTGCTAACCAGAAGCTGGGGGTTCAAACCCACCAGCCACTCCTCGGAAGGAAGATGGGGCAATCTACTTCTGTAGTGACACCACCTCGGAAACCCAAGGAGGGATCACTATGAGTCGGGTCCGACAACAACAACATGATTGTTAAAAATACGAAAATATATCACATGAAATAAAACTTCTGTTTCAGTTATATATATATTTATACATATACATATGTGTATACATATATATGTATTCTTACTCTGATCAGTGTTAAGTGTAATTCTTTCTATAGCAAGGTCAAAGACAGTTTGAAAGCAACTGAGGTTGAATACTAGTTTGAAAGTCTTAAGGCAGGAAATAGCTTTGGGAGTCTTAGGAAGAGAAAGGAGACCAGCATATCCAAAATGAGCATTGGGATAGAGTGGTAGGAAATATATCTACATTTCCTACCTACAACCTACAACCAAGCATCCTAAATCTGGACTACCATCTCTGTTCTCATCATGGTTCATCATTAGGAGATAATGAGGAAAAATCATCTTTTTTTGGTTTCATATTAGTAGTCTAAATTGCCTTGAAGAGACTGTTGGTAGAATGATGGACATCAAAGGCAATTCTGGTGAGGGCTGAGAAGTAAGGAGAGCTATGGAGAAAGTCTGTATCATTTTAGAGAATACACAGGAATAGAATATTGCTAGAAATATGTATGTTAAATGTGTTTCTTGTGAGGCTTTAAAAGAAAATGAAAACAAAACGATCTGGAAAATTCTGTTGTACAAACTAAGGACAAGTGTCTCAGAATTTTCACCAAGGGCATGGCTACACAAAATTTTGTTAGAGACTAAGGCTGTGTCTGATGTCTAACCAACCACTACAGTAGAAAACTCACCAGTTTAGACTGAAGGAGGGAGCTCTGGTAGCATAGTGCCTAAGGTACTTGACTGCTAAACAGAAGGCTGGCAGTTCAAACCCACAAACCACTCCTCGGAAGGAAGGTTGGGCAATCTACTTCTGTAGTGATACCGCCTTGGAAACCCAAGGAGGGGTCGCTATGAGTCAGGTCCAATTCAATGGCAAACAACAACTAGACTGAAGGAGACAGAAAAATTAAAAAAAAAAGAGGAAAGAATGCCATCTGCCTTTTGGAATTCTACAGGCAGCAAACACACCAAAGGAGCTATATATGTTGTCCTCCAAGAAAAAAGGACCATCCCAGGCCCAGCTCAGAGTTCAGCAGAACTATTGGAAGAAGCATGGGAAGCAGGGCCTTCTCAGTTTCAAAGGGTAGGGCCATAGCCTCCTGGATCTTAAAGAGTGGGGCTATGGCCTAGGATTCAAAGAGCTGGATCTTTGCTAACTTGATTCTGCGTGTCAGGCTGCAGTTAAGATGTGCCAGAGGTTGGGGGTGCCATGCCCAAGGAGCAGAAGAAGTGGACCTGCCTGGGCCAACGTGGTAGAGTTGCCACTCAGATGGACTAGGAAAATGGGGCTGCCCATGCCAAGGGAATCCTGTCTTACTGGGCCTGGAAGGCAGAGCTAAAGCACAGAATCCTCCACCTGGAATCCAGAAGGCAGAGCCAATACCCAGAGTCTATACTGCAGGGTCATTTCCTAGGTGTCACATTAAAAAAAAAAAAAAAAGGATTATTTTCAAGCCTTGAGAGCTATTGTAATTTGTTCTGCTGGATTTTGGACTTGCTTAGTGCCTGTTATTCCTTCTTTCTCTATAATTTCTCCCACTGTAAATGGAAATGTCCACCTTGTGCCTGTTTCACCATTGTACTTTGAAAACAGATAATTTATAATCTATATTTCATAGGTTCACAGATGAAGGGAATTTTGCCCCAGGATGGAATACACTTAAAGCCTTGCCCACATGTGATTTAGATGATTCAGAAGGTGAGTCTTAACTTGGAGTTAAGACTTTTGGGGGGTGATGTGATGGTGTAAATGTGTTTTGCATGTGGGAAGGACAAGGTTCTAGGGGCCAAGGGGTGAATGCTATGGATTGAATTGTGTCCCCCCAAAATACGTGTTATAATTCCTAACCTCTAAGCCTATAGTTAGGAGGTCTGGTGCGTAGTGCCTAAGGCACTTGACTGCTAACCAGAAGGCTGACCGTTCAAACCCACCAGTCACTCCTTGGAAGAAAGGTTGGGCAATCTACTTCGCCACTCCTTGGAAGTAAGGTTGGGCAATCTACTTTGTAGTGAGACTGCCTCGGAAATTCAAGGAGGGGTCGTTATGAGTCGGTCCGACTTGATGGCACATAACAACAACAAGCCTATAGTTAAGCTGCTATGGTAGCATAGTGGTTAAAGCATTTGACTGCTAACCAAAACGTTGGTGGTTTGAACCTACCAGCTGCTCCTTTGAGAATGATGGGACAGTTTGCATCTGTAAAGATTTACAACCTTGAGGCAGTCAATGGGGCAGTTCTGCTGTGCCCTAAAGGGTGGCTATGAGTCAGAATCCACTCCAAAGCAGTGGGATACCAATGCTAGGTTATAAACCCATTGGGAATTCATAGCTTTGTTTTGCTAATGAGGCGGGATTAGTGTAGCTTGTGTCTCCAGTCAATCTCTTTTGATAAACAAAAGACATTAAACAAGCAAGGGAGAGACTCAGAGACAGGGAAGATCAATGCCAAGACACATGAAGATCATAGTGCAGAAGGAGAAACTCAAAGAGACTGGACTTTCCTCCAGAGCCTTCCCCTAGAGCCAGCATTCCGAATTCGGACTTCCAGCCCCCTAAACTGTGAGAAAATAAATTTGTTTGTTAGCGCCAACCACTTGTGGTATTTGTTTTAGCAGCACTAGATAACTAGAGCACTTGATAAAGAACTGAATGAAAAGAAAGTTTAAGCCTCAAATCACGTGCAATTAAGGCTTGACAAAGACTTTCCAGGCAAGGTAAACAGCGTTGGCAACACAACTCACCTACAAGTTCTCCAATCATGAAGAGCAAGTAAAGGACGGCAGCAATGGTCAATCTGGTTTTCACCTTTCTCTGCTTTAGTAACTCTCTCTGCTTGCTGCAGTTGTCACAGGGGTCCACCTTCAAACTCAGCTGACTGTTGGTCAAAGGTAAGTCCTGGTCCAATAAGGAATCGTCGTCAGCCTGGAGGGCTGGGTGCGCCCCGTTAAGAGGCCTTTCTGAGATTTCAGAACCATCATCGGCTACTACCACTCGAAGTTTGTTAAACCGAGAAAGCCCCTCGTCCCCTACCTCACCGTAGAAGTCAAAGGCGCTGGTGTCATTTAAAAACAGCGGCGCATCATCCTTCCTCAGCAGAGATTTGAGGCGCTTCCACACGCCGGCTCCGGCCATGGCAGACGCTGTGTGGCCCGGCGCCGAACGGCCCGGGTACAGGCGGAAGGCCGGCGGCTCCTACTTCACAGGAACGCCAGTTCCCGACGGCAATGCCGCGCGTCCCTCCCCACCCTGTGAAAACAAAACACGTTATAAATGAAAGGCCCTCCAACATTCCCCTCAAGTTCCGCCGAAGCGGGCTGCGGTAGGAACGCAGCGCCGGCCCAGCGGCTCCTTGTTCGCCCCGCCACCGCCGCCAGCACCTATAGGCTCAGGCCGGGTCTCCGCGAGGGGGCGGTGCAACTACCTGGGGCGCTGTCTTAGGGTCGCAGCTCATCTCCCGGTCCCCAGCCCACTCGCGCGGCTTGCATAACTCGGCCCGGGGCAGCGGGGGAGCAGGGCCACCCTCGCGCCTGCCACGCCCGCCCAGCTGACGCTAGAGGCGGGTACTCCAGGTCTGACAGGTTGGGGGCCGTGCCTGCAGCCACCGCTTCTCCCCGCCCTGCATGATGCCGCGCGCGTGCGCCGGAGCTGCCGCGGGCGAGGCGCACGAGGGAGGGGTCGGCGCGAGGACACGCAGGCCCGCAGCGCAGGGCTGTGGGTGCCCGCGAAGGGCGGTGCGGGGGTGCGTGTCGCTTTCCTAGCCCCTTGCTCCCATCCGGGTTCCAGGTACCCAAGCGTCCAGCTGTGCCCAGAGAACTCTAAGTCTGGCGCGGTCTCTTACTCCGCCCGAGGCGAAGCCCCAGTCTCTGGCAGGGCCTTTCCATCTCCGCTGGATGAGAGGCATGTGTGGCTTAGCTGAAGTCTTCAAGCCAAGTGGGTGGTTTCGAACAGTCCCGCCAGGGCTTGGGCCGTGATACTTAGGAGTTCCCGCCACCAGTGGTGGATCTTGGGAATCTTGGGTTGGGATCTTGCTGGTGGGTCCTACCCAAAAAATAAATTTAGCGTCTTCTTGCCAAGTCAGAAAGAAGCCAAGCCCCTTTTCTCTTCTCCAACAGCTTCTCATTCTGGGAAGTTGGCAAATTTTGCTGCACAGTCAGGTCAACTTGGAGAGGGCAAGTCAGCAGGTTTACTATTGTTATTTAGCAAATATTCTGGTCCTTGTGTGTCCACCACCACATTCCTTTTCTCTCTGAGATATTTAAAATAATGGACTTAAAAGAGTCAAAAGAGAACCTACAGATTGGGAAAAAATATTTGGTAATAACATATCTGACAAGGGACTTATCTCTAGAATTTATAGAAC